GTGTGTGTGTGTGTATCTGTATATATAAATATAGACTTATATATATATATATGTACCTATATAGACATATATATATATAAGTGTGTGTGTGTGTTTGTATGTGTGTGTGTGTGTGCGTACGTGTGTTTTTATACTTGTGTGTACAGGTGTGTACAGGTGTATACTTGTTTGTGTGTCCATATATCAATGCGTAACACCGTATCGATCAGTGTCAGACATTTCTTCGAGTAAGAGACGTCTATTGTGCGTCTATTGTGTGTGCATAGACGTGCCAAGAACCTCCATGTTTAATTTGCGTAGTTAGTCAGTGGCAGTATTTGTAACATACACCGTGCTCATAAATATAAATATATATTGCGAACCGCGTAGTTATGTTAGCTGTAAATTTGTAGTATGCATCTCGAATACACGTACATACGTACTCCATATAAAAAAAAATAGGTCCATATCGTGCTCTGTTTCGGTAAAAACGTTATTCACAGAGCGCATAACTGCATACTGTACTGCATAACCACACCTCAAGAATTTTTAAACTCCCACAGGCCCACCGAATTACGACTCGAGTTGACGACATCGAGAGTCATCTCTATTCCGTGTCGTGATTGAACTTGATGTCGTTTATACCTTTTGTTCACGTGTCTGTAACTCTTCCTATGTCGTTAACTCTTCTATTTCCTGGGTACTCTTTTTGATGTCGCAAAATCCGGAATGTATTAAAAATATATATTCATTTCAGTCTCTATTTCAGACGGTATATTTATTGTACCTCTATTTGTTTTGTTCTCCTGGTATCATTTTAAATGTCGCAAACTCTGAGTTGTAAAAATGTGGTTTATATTTATCTAGAAAATATATATTTCTTAAATTTATCTCTTGATTTTATCTCTCGCCCTCTTTATTATAAAAATAGCATATTTTGATGAGATTCGACCTCCTTCCTTGCTGCGATACGTATACAACTATATATTTACATGGCTTTTTGTATGTGCATATATATAACATACACGTATACAACTAAATACATGGTTGTAACATAGGTGCATATACTACGCAGCAACCCGCGTCTGAGTTACAAATCATAACGCCTCCACCCGAGTCCCAAATACAACCGCCTACTATATATATATATATTTATTAATATATTACTTTATTTATATACAGATACAAATTATATGTACATATATCTATATATATAAGCATCGTTTATTGTTGCAATTTGTACTACACAACCTCAATATAAAATAGACTGTACACGATGGAGAACGAGCAAACCCGCGACCAAGTGAATAACGCAGCTCCCACTGCACCATCTGTGTGTGTGAAGTGCTGTGTTTTCTTCGGAAACCCTGCCAACGACGGCATGTGCTCTCAGGTAAATATTGTTTACTTACTATTTGTGTTTTATGTATGCCGTATGTTTTCTCGTAATCGACTTTGGTTTGCGATGTTGGGTAGGCTGTAGCGATTTGTTGGGACCCTATCCTCATTAGACATTGCTTTGTGGCAGTGTTTCTTGATGATTAACTATGGTGGTTCTACTGGAGATCAAGTGTCAGTGCGTACATTGCCTATGGTTGAACGATGCTCTCTATTTGGGATAGCGATTAAATCTGTTCATTTCTATCACATGTCAGATTTACTTGCCTGCATCCGTATATTTTTTTAATGGCAACGCTTATAGTTAGGCGTATAAGGCTTCGGTTGCGTAGGGAAGTGGTGTTCTTATTGTTCTCATTGTACTTGTTGGTCACGTCTGGCCCCAGAACCAGCTCGAGCGTTCGCCATGTATTTTATTTTACTTGTGTCTGTGTTTATCGTACGTGTACACAATGTGAACAAACGCCAATCAGACACACTAGTGGCCTACACTAACATCACTCTTGCAATATTACGCCTATCTGCCGATCCTATAAGAAATGTGCCTTACGTTGTCTCACCTCTCACTCCTGTAGTGTTACAAACTGGTCAACGATACCGAGCCCGCTAAGGTCATTTCAACAGCAAAGGTCATTACACCAGAGGTCACACACGGTACGTGCGCGGTTAGCTATGTATATTCATCCTGTGTTTTATGCGTAAACGTTTTTTATTTTCCTGATATCCCTTATCGCCAATCGTAAAGTAGCACCCGCTTGTATGGTGTTTGGTGGCTGTTACATCACGTATATGTGCAGTATATTGATATATATCGAGATCTGAACAGAAAATTCAAGAGATAGGCATATTTTATTTAATAACTAAATGGGCGTCTAAGGCAGTAACACAAAACAATTCGTAGTATATTTTAAGATATATACACATAAACATACATACATATATATAAACATGAGCCAGTTCTCAGTGTGCTAGTCTTTCAATATACCCCATATGTCTTGAAATATACTATGTATCTCTCAGATCACGATGTCGTCTTTGAATGTACTCATATTTCTTCGGTCTCGATCTAGTCTTTAAATATACCCCACGCATCTCGTAGAGTTATATATAGTCATAAATATAAAATTATATCTCCTCGATCTCGATGTGATAAAGTTCGTATCTTTGGTGTCTCTATAAAGTCTAAATATACCTTAAATCTTTTAGGAATCTATAGTCTCAAAATATATGTCATAGTCTCCAAATATACCTCATATAGTCTCTGAATATGTTTTAGGTCCCTAAATAGTACCTCTTCATATCTTGCAGGTCTCTATATAATTTAAATATACCTCAAATTTTTTAAGCTTTACATAGTCTCTTATTAAAATATCTCTTATATCTTTTAGGTCTCTATATAGTTTAAAATATACCGCATATATTTTAGGTCTCTATATAGTCTCTAAATATACCTCGTATCTTTTAGGTCTCTATATACTCCCTAGTTCTACCTCGTATCTTTTTAGGTCTCTATATAGTCTAAATACAATTATTTTTTTGTCGATATAGTCTCTAAATGTGCCTCGTATCTTTTAGGTCTACATAGTCGCCAATTGTACCTCGTCTTTTTAGATCCCTATATAATCCAAATATTCTTCGTATCTCTTAGGCCTCTAGTATTCTCTAAACATATATCTTCCAGGTCTCTATAAAGTCACTAAATATAGCTGTCAGTTTTGGGTCTTTAGTATTATAAAGATACTTCGTTTTGTTTTGGTCTTTAGTACCCTCTAAATATACCTCATATATTTTGAGCCTGTATATAGGGATTAAAAATACCTCAAATTTTTAGGTCTATAGTCTTTAAATATATCTCATATCGCTTAGAGCTCTATATCGTCTAGAATTACCTCGTAGTTTATAGTTTAGAGCTCTATATAGTCTTTAAATGTACCTCGTATCTCAGATCTCAATATAGTGTCTAAACATATCTCGTAACTCTTAACTCATGTTTCTTAGATCTCTATATAGTCCAAGTATACTATAGTCTCTACACATATTCCATGTTTCTTATATCTCGATACAGTCACAACTATCTCTTAGATCTATGTATAGTCTCGAAATAATAATAATACCTCTCAGATCTCAATATCCTCTCGAAGTATACTGTTGTTCGTTATACTGCCCGTTCAAATCTCTATTTAGTCTCAAGTAATACCTCATAACGCAAATCTCGGTCTGGTTTCTAAACATACTTCGCTCCCTGTACCATCGGTTTAGATCTCGGTGGAGCTACGCCCGCAAAAGTGGCTGTTGTAGCACGGCCTGCCGTTCCTGCGGCCGAGGACGACACACCGGAAGATAGTAATAGAAGGAAGGTGCAGAAGAACAAGGGCAAGTGCTGGAGTTGTAAGAAGAAAGTAATGTTCGCCAAACAGCTGACTAACAAGTGTCGATGCGGTATGTAGGTGTATGTAGATGTGTGCATGTGTGTGTTTCACAGGGAGGATGCAGTTGAATGTGGCTTGTATGTATGTAGATATTTGCATGTGTGTGTTTCACAGGGAGGATGTAGTTGAATGTGGCTTGAATGTATGTAGATATGTGCATGTGTGTGTTTCACAGGGAGGATGTAGTTGAATGTGGCTTGTGTGTATGTAGTTGTATGCATGTGTGCGTCACACAGATGGGAGGCTGTTGGATGTGGCGTGATCATCCATCTGTCGCTTCGATTGTTTAGCGTCTTGCTGTCTTTCTAAGTGCGTATTGGCTTTGTTACGGAAGACTCTGGTTTTCATATGTGTCCTGCTGTGTGTTGTGCTTGGGATATCATCAAGTAATAGTTCATGCTATCAGGTGAAATAGTATCAGATTTCATGCTCGAATATATATGAGACGCAAGGAGTATTCTTGAGTGACTACGTCTCTCTCGCTGTGAAGATTTTTCGTTGACAGGCCATCTAATTCATATTAAATAATACACATAAGTGGTCGTTTTATGTGGGGGTTATTGCCACAAGGCAACCAGCGAGTCCGCTATTATCTTTTTAAAAAAAATTATCGTGTGTGAGGAGGATTATTTTATTGTACTCAGTAATTCTGTTGGAAGTGGAGTTATGCGCATTTTAGCGCAAGTACTTGCGAGTTGTGGGGAGGGTTTTAAGACCAACAAGCCATGTGTTTAACTAACCGCATACTCGCAACCATCAAGTCCAAGCCATTATATGATTCTCTTATGAGCTATATATATATCTCCTGCTCTTTATCCCACTATTCCATCTTCACAGAATACATATTCTGTGACGAGCATCGCTTATCCGATAGGCACGACTGTGACTTTGGCTATAAAGAGAGTGGGCGTGAGCTGCTTTCCAAGCTAAATCCACAGGTGGTTAACGAGAAACTCGGCAAGATCTGAGATATACCTACATAGACTTACTATATAAGGACCGAGAAACATGGTGCGCATAGGTTGGCTATGTGAGACATAGGGTGTATGAGTGAATAAGCTCATTCGCGCCGTATAGCACATGTTTGAAAGTGAGTGGCGACGGTTCACGACACAACTGCCGAGAGCGGCTACTCAACGACGATGTGCGTTCTCGCGCATGTCGGCTGTGTTGCAGGGAACAGCGCCTGCGAGTGCTTGGCTGTGCTTGTGCCCCGAGTTGTGGGGAAGGGAATGTAAAGGAGGATATGTAGGTACACATTGTGCGACACGTATCCCTGGTGTACGCGAGGCTCTGCTGGTGTGCGCATGTTGGCTGTTGAGTGGGTACATGCAGCGCTTGCTGACACGGAAGGAAAGCGTGGGCTGGTAGAGTACATCCACTGGTCGCAATGCCTGCGTTCTGTGGAGCCCTCATGCGACTGTGTAACCCGTATGACTGTGGCGTGGTGTATACCTACCACCGCAGTGACTGTATATGCGGAGGGGTGCTCCGTCGGGCCAGACGGGGTGGATGCGCACTGTGCTAAGAAATATAAATAATACTATGGAACTGTTCTTTGATTTACGAATTTTACGGATACGAGCTTGACATTGCATATAAATAAATACTGCCGTATGAGTCTCGGGTGTTGCTTTGCTGAACCAATTCGTTCTTCTGTGCCGCACGCACGGCGCAAGGCTGTGTGTGTCAGGCTTCATTTCACTAGGAACGTGGACATACACAATTTTCGCAGTAGTCAGACCTGTTCATTTCTAGAGTTTGGACTTTGGGGGTTTTTTTCTCAGATACTTAAGGCCCTCAAACGCCGAGTTTTCAATGTGCGTACACTATGATTATGATGTTGTGTGAGACTCTTCAGTCATATGGAATCCTTGACTGTGATGTGAATTAAGGGATGCCATGGATACGACGGAGCAACGTACACACGGGTGTGTATGTACACCTCATTCTGCTGCTTTGTTTCTTTGTCTCGTTTATCTCTGGTGCATCGAACTGGTCTCGGCACCTGATGTATGCTAGAGCTAGGCTTAATAGGTTAACATGGTAATCCAACCTTCCGTACTATCTACCGTATGTGGGCTGTATAAATAGTCCGCTCCTCAATCGAGAGCAGCGTTTGTATCAATGCCGAGGTAAATATGTTATAGTTAATAGTAGCATTACCATCGCAAATATTAATTCATATGGAACGTCGCCACGGGAATTGCTAACTTATACAACAGCATCTGGGTAAGATTTCCTTTGGTACTAAAACCTAGAACTTCAGCGAATGGGTAAATAAATGTATATATTGCTTCCTCATTTTCTTCATACTAATTTTCTTGAGTAAGCTTTATTTTGCTACATTGCTAAATACCAGCGAGTGGGTACACAAAGGTATAAAATACTTCCTCATCTTCTTCATACTACTGTTCTTGGGTTAGCTTTACATTGGTACTACCTAGCTAGAACGTCAGCGAGTGGGTAACAAAGGTATTGGTTTCTTATACTACTGTCCTTGGGTTAGCTTTACTTTGGTACTAGCTGGCTAGAACGTCAGCGAGTGCGTAAACAAAGATATAGATTGCTTCCTCATATTCCTCATACTGATGTTCTTGTGTAAGTTTTCCATTGGTACTACAAAACTAGAATGTTAGCGAGTGGGAAAACAGGGATATATATTACTTCCTCATCTTTATTCTAATGTTCTTGGGTAAACTTTGCTTTGGTACTACCTAGCTAGAAAGTCAGCGAGTGGGTAAACACAGGCATTGGTTTCTCATACCAAGTTCCTGGTGAAGCCTTCCATTGGTACTACAAATCTAGAATGTCGGAGAGTGGGTAAACAAAGATACAGTTTGCTTCCTCATATTCCTCATACTATTTTTTGGGGGGTAAGCTTTACTTCTGTACTACATATCCAGAATGTTAGCGAGTGGACAAAGACATATATTGATGGCTTCCTCATATTCCACATGCTCATGTTCTTGGGTAAGCGCTGCTTTGTACTAGTTAGCTAAAATGTTAGCAAGGGGGCGGACAAAGGTGTAGATTGCTTCCTCATACTGCTCATATTAATGATCTTGGGTGAGCTTTACTTTGGTACTAGATAGCTAGAATGTTAGTGAGTGGGTAGAGAAAGTGCTGCATTGTTTCCTCATATTCCATACAGTATGGTACTTAGGTAACAGTCCTTCGTTACTTCATAGGTAGAATGTCAGAGAGTTGGGTAAAAAATTGTACGATTTGATTTCTCGTACAAAAGCATCTGGGTAAATTTTTCTTTCGTACTAAATAGCTAGAACTTCAGCGAGTTTGTAGACGAACGTATGAACTAACTACTTACATATCTTATACTGATGTTCTTGGCTGATCTTTCCTTTCCTACTACTACTACATAGCTAAAACGATAGCGAGTGGACAAACGAAGGTGTGTATAGCTTCCTCATCTTCCTCATACTATTGTTCTTTAGCAGGCTTTCTTTTTGTACTATGTAGCTAGAACGTTAACAAGTGGGTAAACAAAGTAATGTATTGTTGTTTCCTCATGCGCCCCATACTAACCTCATGTGCCCCATACTAATGTTCTTGTGTATGCTTCCCTTTGGTACTATGTAGCTAGAACGTTAGCGAGTGGGCAAACGAAGGTGTGTATAGCTTCCTCATCTTCTTCATACTCTTGTTCTTTAGTAGTCTTTCTTTTTGTACTATGTAGCTAGAACGTTAGCAAGTGGGTAAACAAAGTGATGTATTGTTGTTTCCTCATGTGCCCCATACTAATGTTCTTGTGTATGCTTCCCTTTGGTACTAATTTTCTTGGATAAACGTTTCCTTATTGCTTCCTCATGTTCAACGTACTAATTTTCTTGGGTAAACGTTTCCTTATTGCTTCTTCATGTTCAACGTACTAATTTTCTTGTGTAAACGTTTTCTAATTGCTTCCTCATGTTCAACGTACTCTTGATACTACATAACCAGGACGTCAGCGAGTGGGTAAAAAAAAACTGGTTGCTTCCAAATATTGCTCATAATAATGATCCTGGGTCAGCTTTCCTTAGTACTACATAGCTAGAATGTCAAAGAACGGGTAAACAAAGGTATATGTTGCTTTCTTATGCCTATTAAAGGTCTTGGGTATTTTTTCTTTGGTATGATAAGGCTAGAATTTTCAAAAAGTAGGTAAACAAAAGGTATGCATTGTTTCATGATACTAGAGTTCTTGTGTACGCTTTCTTTGGTACTAAAAAGCTAGAATATAAAAGAGTGGGAAATTATTACATTGGATTGCCTCTTTCAACTATTGGGTACACAAAGGTATGCATTGCTTCATATTGCTAGTGTTCTTGGGTATACATTCCCTTGGTAATATATACTGGAATATCAGAGAGTGAGTGGACAAAGGTATCGATTATTTCCTCATACTATTGCTTTTGAGTAAGCTTTAGTTTGGTACTACCTAGCTAGAATATCAGCAGAGTGAGTACACATAGGTATGGATCACATTGCTTCCTGATATTGTTCATGCTAATGTTCTAGGGGAAGCTTTTATTTGGTACTACATTGCCAGAACGTACAGCGAGTGGGAAAACAAAGGTATAGATTGCTTCCTCATTTTCCTCAGACTAATGTTCTTGGATAAGTCTCCTTAGGTATTATATAGCTAGAATGTCATTGAGTGGGATACAAAGGTATGAATTACTTTCTCATATATCTCATATTAATGTTCTTGGGTAAGATATCCTTTATACTGCATAGAAAAAATGTCAGTGATTGGGCAAACAAAGGTGCGGATTTCTTCCTCATCTTTCTCAAACTATTAGGTTCTAGGTGAGGTTTCCGTTGGTACTACATATCTACAATGTTAGCGAGTGGGTAAATAACGATACAAATTGTTCATTCGTATTTTTCATGCCAATAATCTTGGGTATGCATTCCTTTTGCACTCCATAGCAAAAAAAATAGTGACTAGGTAAACAAAGGTAAGGTTGCTTACGCATATTCCTCATACGAATGTCCTTGGGTAGCTTTCTTTTGGTATCCTACGGTACTACATATCTAGAATGTCAGTGGAAAGGTAAACGAAGATATGGTACCATACAGCTAGAATATCATATAGTGAGTAAAAAGAGGTATATACCCTTATCTTCTTGATTGAGCTTTCCTCTGGTACTATTTAGGTAGGATATCAAATAGTGAGTAAAAAAAGTTATGTATTGTTTTCTCATACTAAAGGTTTTGAGTATGCGTTGCTTTATCTTCTTGGGTAAACTTTCCTTCCCTACTACATAGCCGGAACGTCAGCGAGTGGGTAAATAAAGGAATGGATTACTTTCTCATATTTTTCATACTATTTTTATTAGATTTTTTTTTTGGTATCAAGTAATACCGATTAATTGCTTCCTCATCATCCTCATACTAACGGTCTAGGGTAAGCTTTCCTTTGGCACTTCGCAGCTAGATCGTCAGCGAGTGGGAAAACAGAAACCTGAATTGTCTTCTTCATCTCGCTCTTGCTAATATTCTTGGGTAAACTTTCCTTTGGTACTACACAGACAAATTATCGCGAGTGGGTAAACAAAGGTATGTATTGCTTCATAATATTCCTCATGGGTTTCTCCAGTACTACATAGCTAGAACGTACGTTATTGAGTGAACAAAGATATAGATTGCTACCTCGTACTCCTCATACCAATTTTATTGTTGAAGCTTATTGTTGAAGCTTTCTTCTGAAACTACACAGCTAAAATGTCGCTAGTGGGTAAACAAAGGGATGTATTGTTCCATACTAAAGTACTTAGGTAAGGTTTCCCTCAGTACTAAATAGCTAGAACGTCAGCTAGGGGGTAAACAACTGTATAGATTGTTTCCTCATATTCTTCATATTAGTATCCGTGGGCAAGCTTTTCTTTGTTACTGAATAGCTTTTTTGTTAGAGAGTGGGTAAACAAACCTCGTATTCCTCATACTAATGTCCTGGGTGAGATTTTCTTATGTACAACATAGTTAGAATGTCAGAATGGATAAACAAAGGTTTTAGTTCATTTTTGGGCAAATATCGAGCATAAATACCGTGTTTTTGAAGCCTAGTTGCTGAAAAAAATTACTTGTCAACTTCATCATAACATCATTATGTATGGCAACCAATAGAGTGATGCTGAGTACATCACTAATATTACCTTGTGCACGGTATTAGCAACCCTAAGAAACTCTCGAGATAACTACCGCATGTCTACAGCACACGGTGTGAGATGAACGGGTGGGCGGATGTAGATGGCCTTGTCGGTACGTATATTTTCGGTTGGATATGCTTCGTTGTCCACATATAAATATTGCATCAAACTGTGTTTGTGCTATGAGTTGACGGTATAGAAACAAATAAAAGCGAACGTATTCGTACGCATCGTAGAGTTTTTGTCCCATGATTTGACGGTATAGAAACAAACAAAGACGAACGTGTCCGTACGCATCAAACTGTGTTTGTCTCATGATTTAACGGTATAGAAACAAACATAAGCGAACGTGTTCGTACGCATCGTACTATGTTTGTTCCATGATTTGACGATATAGAGACAAACAGAAACGAACGCGTTCTTACAATCGTACTGGGTTTGTTCCATTATTCGACGATATAGAGACAAACAAAAGCGAACGTATTCTTACGAATCGTACTGTGTTCGTCCCATGATTCGACGGTATAGAGACAAACAAAAGAGAACGTATTCTTGCACATCGAACTGTGTTTGTCTCATATTTGACGATATAGAGACAATTAATCGCTTGCAAAATAGTATATAGACCCTGCCCGACTGTTTATGGATAACCACCTAAAGGTATGTATCTATAAAGTATATTTATTTACATGTCACAGCGTGTTTACTTATGTATCAATTCATATTTACCGACATATTACGCTTGTTTACTCTGGTATCAATTTATTTTTATTCACGTATTCAAGCGTATTTATGTATTTAAACATATTTACTTGCGTCCTCTCATTAACTCGTGCCACAAATCTGCATTCAAAATTTCTAGTACATCACGTACTATCAATAAAACCATTCACAAGACTCGTTTAATTATCATATATTCACAGCTAACAGTACCAAAGAACACCCTCGCTCTACGCATCTCCCATTGCACTCAGCAACGATTTCTTGCTGGTTCTCGAGGACTTAGTAGTCGAGAATAGATCAATTGCAGGTGCATGCTTCACGTTCATGGTCCCTTTTTTGGCCCCAGTATCGTATAGATCGAGGATATAGGCGGGAACTGTGCCCTCTCTCAGCGTGTGAGCGAATACTTTCACGCCCACAAAGGCCGTTTTGTCCTTAGGAATACCGCCGTAGAGGTGCACGGTATCGCCCTACAAACACAAGTACCACAGCAAGTGTAAGTTAACGGGGAGGACAGTGAGTATCGGGCTATTGAGTATATGACTGATAGGCGACGCTTGGATGAGTGTAGCAATGATATGAGACACTTGAATGGTTGTTTCAGCGTTCTTTAGAGAATTTGTTGACTCACGTGATGAGTTACCAGAATCACTACAGATTGGAATTCAGCTAACATTGTCAATTTCGGTAGATCAATCGATTTAGTATCTGGTTTATTCGAAGTACGAATATTCTGTAGACGTGACATTCACAGACACATATGACAAGACGCTATTTGAGAGCACACACACACACACACCCCCATACACATACACAGACACAGACACAGACACATACACAGACACAGACACAGACACAGACACAGACACAGACACACACACATATACATATATCTATTAATATATATACATACATATATATATATACATACATATATATATATACTATACAGTATACTATACATATATACTATATATA